CTCAGTATACCGCGAGCTACAGCTCGCGGTATACTTAGACGCCGCAGCTGAAGCGGATCCCGACAATTATGTCTGGATCTGCCCAGCTGCGTGAGTGACAGCTGGCTCTGCCTATCTAGAGGCAGAGCCAGCTGTACCCGCCCCCTCCCTCGTCCATCCCGCCAGTCAGCACTGGAGAATCGGAGCGGGGAGGGGGGAATCCAGTCGCTCCCCTGTCACGGCTCTCTGCCGTGACAGGATCGAGAAGTGAGCAAAAGCCAGTATGTGTTCGCTTACTTCCCGATCTACTGAGCCGACCTGTGACAGTTCTAGCCGACCTGTGACAATGAAATTATGAGGTGAGTGAAAAGCACACCTCATAGTTCTCCTTTAACTTAAAAGCAATTATAAGCAGCTGTGGGGACCAGCATTAGCCCATTTGCCACACATGGTCAAAGCACAAGTTTCACTTTCTCCACAGCCATCCACTACTGACTGAATATTTACCAGGATAGCTTTTCTATTTTGAGGTTAGATAGATCTGAAATAGGGGGCAATTGTTCTCCAAGTGACCTAGATTATATCTTACACAACAATGCTAATAAAGCCTTACATCTTTCACTCCCATAAGCAAGCTGTAGATCAGATACATTCTGAGCTTATGCATAGTTTGTCTTGGTGATACTTACACTTCTTTTGCTGGCAGGCTGATTTTGAGGTAATGATCCTGGTGCAAGTACTGGAGAACCTGCAGGTGTGCAAAGCTCTGGAAATGGATTTGGAATTGCTGGCAAAGATGATGTGCGCAGTTGTTCCTCCTGTAGACGTCTGCATGAAAAATAAAATAAAAAGGTTTACTCTGCACAAAAATGATAGTGAAATCTGAAGACAGTCTTGACAATTATACATTATAAAAGCAAATTGCATTCATAAAAAAATAAAACAACCTGTTATTGGTGGCTTGGGGCCAACACAGATGGGCTGGATAAATATAATTTCCAGAAACTATTTCACATGTAACGTGATCTAATAGATACTACCTGTATATGGAGAGGGATGCAGTTTTACTAACCCTGACAGATATGTTTGTTTCTGGTGGGCAACGCAAACAGAGTCATTTCCATTTCAGCCCATATTTGTGCTGACCACCAACCCCAACATAGGTTTTGGCACTGTATATAGACACACTTGTATCCTTAGTAGGGATTATTAATGGAATTGTCCTAATACTTTTATGGGATGAGCAGAGTTAAATTGTTCATCTAGTTTAGCCCTGCTTTGGGTAAAATATAAAAGACAGGGTCACTTCAGGTAAATAGACAAACATGTCAAGCCTGAAAATTGTGCACGCCCGCAAAAAACAATCACGCTGAAAATTGGCCATAGGCGACGCTTAACGCTTTTACTGCTCATCAGTTTAGTGTGATCAGTGATTAATGGCGCTAAAATTATTGCTCACACTGACATTCGCGGTGATATGTAACATGTGTGGCACAATCGTCAGTTTTGCAGGCGCACCCGACGCATGTTTGCCAATGTGTGGTTGCACAACAAGTTGCTTGGGGCAGTTTTCAAAAAGGTCACCAAAGTCATAAAACACTGTTTTCAATTGTATATAGAAGACCAAAAAGGGAAGAGAAGTTTGTTGTTGGGAATTAAATACACTCACGAGCAATTTGCGAGTGAAATTCAAAATCCATAGCACAGGGCGGTACTGGATGGCAGAGGGGAAGGACAGCTCGCCAAAAGTATAGCTGTGTGGGGAAAGTTGGCCAGATTTAGGCGGTTAATTCCCATTTTCACCAAATTACATGGGAAAGTGAACTTACCCCTTCAATGTGCATGTTAACAGAGCACTGCTGCCCCACTACCACAATATGGCACACAATGGAATAAGGGCAGCGCACACAAACAAACACTGTCCTATGCATGAGTTTACTTTCATGCAGATGGTGGGGTTGTTTTTTAGTTTTATTTATTTTTACATACACACACTTCCTCTTTACTTCATCATTTATTTTATTTTGAATTTTTTTCCATCACGACTCCTTTCCACTTACGGCCCGCTGTGCAATATCAAAGTTAACAAGCCCCTATGTGATATCATTCCGAGGTGACAGGCACTGGCGGAACTACCAGGGTCGTAGCTGTCGCGATCGGGCCCTGGCATTCCACTTGTTGGGGGGCCCCAGAGAGAAAGGAGAGGTGCAGCACACAATCATTCTGATTGTGTGCACACTGGCCTGGTACGTCCAATGCATAGCTTAAGGCCCTAGCCTGCCGGACGCCATGCATCAGCCTGCTCCGACGGACCGAAGCCCTGCCGCTCTGCTGGCATTGCCAGCTCTGCACCTGAGGGGAAGGGGTCTAGGAGCGCTCGCAGAGCCATATTAACTACTATGGGAAAGAGCTGCTGAGTGTGCCTACTAGGAGCTGTAGTCCAAGGAAGTAATGTTTGCACCTTAGTAGTTAACGGCCCACAGAGCCCTGCTGAGACCACTCAGGAGCACAGAGGGGTTGGGGTAGGGATGGACTTTAGAGGTGGAACAGACTTGGGGGGCCAGACAAGCAGGCTGCTGTACAAAAAAAAAGCGCAGCCCTATGTATCGGAGCAATTTCACAAGTACGTGTGTTACATGCACATGGTTTGTTTATAGTGTGTACACCCAAAATCCGTGGCTGTACATGCAGAGCACAAGTGCACAAGTCTGAAAATAGAAAAGCTCAGGGCTGAGCACTTGTGATCTTTGTAAAGGAAAAATCAGAAAAGTCGAGTCCATTTCCTATTCATTTCAATGCTCAACTCCTTCATGACCGAGACCTTTTTTTCATTTATTGTTTACATGTTATAATCCAGATTTTAGGCCTGAAAATGACTTAAAACCCCCAAACATTATTTTCTGAAAGCCAAGACCCTGTAGAATAAAATGGTGTTAGTTGGAAATGTTGTATGTTGCGCAATATTAGCACAACTCCTTATCAAACCGCAAAATTTAGTGAAAAATGCACTTAAATGCCCCAAAACACCATAACATATTCATGTCTTAATAAAATGTACAAATTGAGGTTACAACGAGTAAATAGATACCCAACATGCCCAGGTTAAAAAATGTGTCCGTCCGTGAAACTGCGCTAAAATTCAGTACCCCAAAAAGTCCATAGATGACGCTGTAAAAGCCCCCACAGGTTATCAGTTTAGAGATACGTGGAAATATTGGCCCTAGAATTATTGCTCTCTAGTGTGCGTGGCGATACCAAACATGTGTAGCGCGATTGTCGTTTTCATACGTAGGAGCACCCGACACGTGTTTATGCGAAGACTCACATGCTCGTCCGGAGATTATATTTTGACATTAATATGCAGTCACATGGGGGGCTCCCAAGCCCCCCAACCCCGTGTGTTAGGTTAGTGGTGACAGGTCCTTTTAAGGTGATACTGGGTGTCCAAAAGACCCTTAGTATCACATTTATACTTGAAGCTATTGAAGTGCATGTCGCTTCATGAGCCCAGCACTGACAGCTATGGGACCGGAAGTGATGTAATCTGCATTGCTCCCAGCCACATAGTATGGTGAGATCAGTAAACAGGAGGTTCGCCAATATCTTCCACAGCTCCCCCACACGACACCAGAGAAGCCGGTCTAAGGCCTGTAGGAGCGGCAGCGGAGCCTGGGAAACACTGTTGGGGTGTCAGGCGGGCCCTGTTTACCGGCCCATAGAAGCGATCTGGCAGCAGCTCAGCCACCAGAATCGCTTTTACTGTAAAGCAGACAGTCAGCTTTACAAGTGTAAACAGAGTCCTATACGTCACTGGTCATGAAGGGGTTAAAGTACCTTTGAAGATCCTGGGCTCCTATGACAGGAAGGTGCTGTCAGGAGAAGAAAAGTGGCAGTGTGTTCTAGATCAGTGAGCTAAAACTCACCAGTCTTAAAGCTTGTTCACACCAAATCCTGACGAGATCTGGATGCGTTTCTGCATATGCAGTGCATTTTGACATGCATTCCTGTAAGTTTCTTTTTTTTTAACCAAAAATGGGCTTTCAGGTGTAGCCCAGTGTGTTCCGAGCATTTGCATGTGTTTTTGGAATGCACCAAAATACATGCAAATGCATAAGAGCAGAAAAAAAAGTGCCTACTGTAGTTTTTCCACATGCACTGAACATTCAATGGTATTTTTAAGCGTTCTTAAACTGCTCTGCTCCGCACTTGGTGTGAACAAGTCCTTAAATTGAAAGAAGGCTTTTCCCGGTAGGTTAAACACATTCTTTTTAATCAAGCAGTAAATAGCCTTGCTTTGACTGGCAGACAAAAATTGGCCCGTACTTCGCCAAGTCAGTCCCTGTGCTTGCTAAAGCAAAACTGTTCTGCCACCGGCCTATCAAACTCATTGAGGCCAACTGTGCAACAGTGCGTTGCACACAAAAAAGGTACTCCAAAGAACGGATGTCAACAAGTAATGTTGCACTTTGGAGCACCCCATATTCGAAACAGGCTCTCATAAACAACCCCCCCC